CTGCTACACAATATTTATGCTGTTAGGTTATGGTTTAATAGGTTAAAAGGGTTTGTGTTGGTTTAAAAATCTCAAGTACACTGGCAATTTAGGAAGTGAAGCACTGGGTGGTAAAAAAATTTTGTAGAACATGATGTGGGAAAAGATATGGTTGCTTGCTGCACATCAACTAGTCCCTCCCAACCATTGATGTTGCTGGCTTCTGCCAAACCATCTGAATGTAAGAGAAGCAGACAAGTACTTGTTTCATATTTTGCCAGCATGCATCCACAGATACTTTCAAAGAAAGCCTCTGATAATTCTGGTCCTTCTCGCAGTGTGGGTCAAACTTTGTCCTGTTGCAGCTTATGACTGCTCAGGTTTAGTGCAGATGACTGTTATGAAGGGTAATAAAGTTAGTAACATTGTGATAAAGTATTACTAAGCTATCTGTGTTTTTTCTATAAAAAAGAAATCGAGGACGGGGGGCACCTCATGATTTTGGACCACCAAGAGGTCCTCCACCAGGACATGGTCCACCAAGATTCCGTGGGCGGGGTTATGGACCAAGGGGACCTCCTTTCAGAGGTCCACCACCACCTCACTTCGGTGGTCCTCGTGGTCCCAGATTTCGTGGACCACCACCGTTTGATCCTAACTGGGGACCAATGCCACCTCCAGGAATGCATCCACATCCACATATGATGGGTCCACCCCCACCAGGAATGGTAAGAGTTCAGATAAATATTTCTTACAGTCGTTTGCTTTTGTTTAGATTCCATTTTACTGTCTGAGTGTTGAGCAAATATATGTATATATGTGCATGTGTTAGCCCATTTTATTGTAAATTAAAACTGAAGGCCCAGTGGATAAGAGGCAAACAGAAAATAATGGAAACCAAGTACATCTCCTTGGATAGTTATTCATGAAGGAGTTAAATAATCATTTTTATAAACATGAGCATGTTAATAATATTTTTGGTAACAGTAATTTTAAACACTATTTATTAATTCAGAGTTTTAAGTAGCATCCTGAGATATAGTTGTGAGGATTAAATGAAAATGGGGCCAGACGTTTGATATAAAATATGGAAGAACATATATGTATAAAATACATCAGTAAGATCAAATGGAATTTTAATCTCAAATGAAAGTACTTGGAGAAACTAGGGAAATTTAGTGTGCATGTGTATTGCTGATGGAGCATGCTGTAAGTAGCAGAACATTGTGTGCTAATGAAACATTTGAATAAGGAAACTAAACATTGCCTACATATAAGCATATAAATGAAAATAAATTATATAGTCATATGAAAGTCTCCGGACTGATAAAAACACAATGTAAGTATGGAATGTATGATTTGTCGTTCATTACCTGTTCTGTGTTTTACAAAACAGATCCTTGTCCCCATGTATTTTGAGGTCTGTCTTATTTAATTTTATTTATATATTTTGATTAGTTGGGGGATTTTGTCACGAACCTGTTTTTCGGATATGTTCTTTCAGTTTCTTTTGGAATGTCAGAACAAACATAGTATTTGTGAAATTTAGAAATCTGGCAGTAATTCTCTTACTCTTCATCTCATGAAGCACATTTTTCAGTTGATAGGATGTTGAGGGACAGTGTTCGTCTCTCCATGGATACTTTCATCTCCAATTAATGAACATCTGATGTGAATATAGGTTGTGGTCTGGGTTCCTTCATTCTGTAATAATACCTCAAACTTCAGAACTGAAGTGAGGAGTATTTGTGTAGGGGTTAGAAGGATGAAGCTTGTGGGATTGGCCAGTCGGAGCTGTGAGATGAGATCAGGAGATGGAGCTCTTTTTCAGGCTAGTAGAAGAGAGTTCTTTTCACAGAATCAGAGAGGAAGATTTTGCCAGGAGGGAGAAGGATAAAAATATCCCTTTTAAGTAGCAGAAGTGAAGGCAGGATCAAGAGGAAGTCTTTAAATACAATTTAACAATACACCTTCAAATTTCATTTTCAGGTCATTTTTATAAGTTATAGCAAATGTTGATGCTTGTTCTCCATTTATGTGTAACCACTTAGCCACCTCCCCACATGATGGGTCATATGGGCATGCCTCCACCTGGTCCAGGACCATATGGCCCACCTCCAATGGGCTGTCCTCCTCCTCAGCAGCAGCCTCCTCCATTGAATTCAGCTGGAAGCCCTGGAAACAGCATGCCACCAGGAAATTCACCTGTGAGTTGATTGTATTGAATTTCATGTGTTCTAATGAGACTAGTAGAAGAGATTGAAGACAATATCCTGTGCTACATATGAATTATCAGAGATCTTCAGAAGACAGAAATTGCTTTGGTATGGTCTTTCATTGGCTTTTGTGAGGGGATGGTATTGGCTAACATTGTATTGTAAAAGCTAACTCCTAAGAATGTGTGTGTGTGTGTATTTCAAACAAGTTAAATGCAGTTCTTTGAAGGCAGCTGTTAAATACATAATTGATACACATTCATTTATTTCCAGTTGCTTTTTTCCATTCTGTTTGTTTATTGCTGTCAAATTACATTTATATGGGTAACTAATATGTGACAAGGAGATTCACCCATTAGTAAGAATGGAAATTAAGTTTTGGTTGAGAAGAGTTGATTAAAATATCTTTGAGGACACCTACACCTGGATTTTATCCAGTGATCTTCCAAATCTGGTTGTTTTGCTACAAAGATAATGTTCTCATGTATTTTCTTGTATTATTAAATTAATGGGAAGATCATTGTCATTATTTTTTGTATATGTGTACATATTTTGCAGAATGTCAATTTGCCTGGTATGGATTTAACAGGGGAAATTTGGGTAGAAACCAAAGCAAGTGAAGGAAAATCTTATTTCTACAATGCTCGAACTAGAGAGACGACATGGAGCAAACCAGAAGGTCCTGCAGTGAAAATAATTACCCAAGAACAGGTACCTTTACTTTAGTTCATAGTGTGTTTATTCTACTTTTGTAGGAAACTATGTAATGCAAACTTTTGTTTTATGATGTTACAACACCACAGCTTATTAATTTCATTGAGCCTTCACATCATGAATGAATGGGCTAAATTTTTAATTATTATGGACAGTATCTTTCTTCTAGGAATGTTGTTTTTATTTTAAATATTTTCTTTAAGGATATGAGTGTAATGGAGTTGAATATGTCTTTGTGGGCATGTGGTGTCTGTACAGAGACTATTTATCTGAAATTATATATTCACAGGTTGGAAAAGAATGTCTACTTGATCCAATACATGCTGCCATAAGAAATTCATACCTAACTTAAACAAGAATGGGATGTGTTGTGAATCAGATGAACTTTCATTTTAATGCGTTGTATTTTAAGAAAAATTTTGTCATGTACAGTTGAAAATGAGCATATATTTTTGAAACATTTTTAAACACCTTGTATTCATATCTGCATATTTTTGATGAAAGTACATCATAGTTGACTTTATATCCACTAGTTGAGACCATCCCTGTTTAACAGACCCCTCGCATTAGGTTCTCTCCCTTGATTGAAGAGCTAAATTCTGGAATGTCACATTTTAAGAATAACCTAAAGGGTAAGGGACAAGATACAGAGCACTTTCTCAAACTGAAGTCATTAGATTTTCATAATCATGATCTAAGTCTTTCTTAATTGCCATTGTACTCAATTTCAGTATTTCACATTTACATCCCATTAATTTAAATTCCTTATATGTGTTAGTAGAAGTGATGTAACTAAACATTTTTTTCAGGTGGAAGTGATGGCACAAGCTGCAGGAGTTAACTCTGGTGGTCCCAACCATCCAACACCAGTACAAATGCCACCACAGGTTCAGCCTGTACCTTCTCAGAAACAAGATTCTGAGGGAAACAATACACAACCTCCTGGTGGTAATATTTGTTTCCATTGTCAAGCACAAACTGAGCGATCAGTCACATGAATGTGTGTTAGCTTTGTTACAAAATTATGGGAAAGGTTATATAATAATATTTATTATATGTGTTGTAATGTGGAGATGAAAGCGTATTGTTTTATGCTCAGAAATAGAAATAGAATGTAAATATTATGTACCACATATTAGTGTTTTGCATTCTCTTTTCTGAAAGTATGGTTTATAGGCTGTTAAATGGCAGTATGAAACCAAATATAGACATATTTTAATAAGCTTGACAACAGAGATCCAGTTTCCAATTATTTTTTTTAAAACAGATAACCGAGATAATGGATGTCCAAATCAATTGTTTAGATTATTGCAATGTACCAGACTTACATTAAAGTATTTTGCTTAAAAGTGAGGAAGAATTAAATTATATCTTGTGGCTGAGAACAGTCTTCATCTCATAACATTTTTTGCAAGTACTGCTGATGTTGTAGCAAGTTTTGAGGTCAATAAAAGAAAATTCTAGGTCTTTCAAGTGGTCCCAGCCTTCAGGGTCTTGTAAACATAGCAATGTACATTTAAGTCACATACATTTTTAATGTTTATTTGTACTTTGTTTTCAGGAGGTGGAATGCCCAACACAATGCAGCCGCCTCCTGGCATGATGCAAGGACCACCGCCTGGCATGCCACCCTTTGGTGGCCCCCCTCCACATTTTGGAGGGCCTCCTCCATTTGGCATGCCACCTCCAGGTTTTCCTGGGGGGTATGGTGGTGGAGGATATGGTGGAATGGCACCTCCTGGTGGTCCATGGGGCATGCCTCCTCAGGGAATGGGAATGCCACAACAGCAACCACCCCAACAGCATCAACAGCAACCCCCTCCACAGCAGCATCCACCACCCCAGCAGCAGCAGCCTCAACAGTCATCTACAATTTCTGCACCTCCTATGACAGCAGGTCAGGTGGCTAATGCAGCACCAGGCCAACCACAAGATGACAATTCACAGGTGTGTCTTTAATATGAGCCCTAGAATTATGACATTCTGACTGGAATTACTGGCATAGAACTCATTGTTAATGAACTGATTTTACAGTGTCATAATTTTTTTAGGTGTTTCTTAAATGAGGTTATTTTTACGTGTCATTGAAAAGTATGGTATTTTTATGTGTTCTATGTAGAATGTGCATTAAATGATTGCATGTAGGGCTGGTCATGACTGTCTGCATGATTTTTACACACTTACAGATTGATCCTGATATAGTCGCAAGAGCTGCTGAGTGGACAGAACACAAAGCTCCTGATGGACGATCATATTACTATAACGCCAAAGCTGGTGAATCTGTTTGGGAGAAACCTCAGGCTCTAAAAGATTTGGAAAGTAAGTATTTTGTATCATCCTTTACGAGAACATTTGTGTATGCATATTGTTAGTAATCTGTAAGGTATTTTATGGAAGCTGCTGAGTTTTATTTGCGCAGTATAGTTAGTAAGGTCACTGTCGTAAACATGCGGCTCTGGGTAGGTGTATTAGTTTTCTGATTACTGTGTGTACGAAGGTTATTGTTTGGAGTTCACAGTGACAACAAATATAAAAACATAAGTTTATAGTGTGCTGTGTAAACTATAAGGCAAAATTACACACAGCCAAACAAGAGAGGATTATATGTCATGTCTGAGAATGGTTAGCAGTCAATCCTACATTGTATTCTGATGGTTTCAGATTTTGACTATCCTGACTTGGTTTTTTTTTTCAGTCTTCAGGCAGATTCTGGTATAGTACCATAACATTGGCCATGCTCCTTTCTTCCACATCCTTTATAATTCATCATTCATACAATTGTCCTGCCATTAGACACTACATGAGCTGTATAGCTGAAAGTTTTTTAATTGACTGAGGAATTGATAAACTATTGTGTAGGCCATAAAGTCTTTAAGTTGAACTGCAAAAATTATGCATGATATTGCATGAATAAATATCTTCTTGAATGGTTAATGTTGTCTACCAAACCTTTAGCAACTTTGTCATAATTTGTCCTTATCAGAGGATTTTTCAGAATGTCATTGGTTATTACACTGAAAATAGAAAATTGGTATTGAAGAATGTCATCAGTTCATGTTGAATTATCATGTGTGGCTGTGCTTTGCAAGTAGTTATCACTGCATCATTCATTTTACATGTATTGTAAGGATGGCCAGTTTTTCCGTCTGTAATGCCATAAATATATTTTTTGTATAGCTATGATCCATAAGATATAGTTAGAAAATTTGTAATAGCTTTGATCCTTTTTTGTATGAATATTTGTGCAAATTGAACATCAAAAGTGGTAAGTCACATTTGAATTAAGTCGTGAATTGTACCATCATCCTAGGAGTTAAATTATGGGAAATAAGAATTACTTTATGCTTGCTCAATAGGAGACCCTATTTTAAGTAATATGGGAACCTACACTGTGTTTTATTTCCAGTAAGTTTGATGTTTGATAATGTCTATCATGAAATTATGTGACAGGCTATTATCTTAGCATACACATTAAAGTCAACAATGAGTTTAAAAGCAACTCATTTGCATTATCTGTTTGTAACTGCGAACTCGTTAAAAAAGTAAATTAAATTTGGAATTTAAACCCAAACTTAGGTTAAATTTTGGTAATGGCATTTCCTTTATACCAGATCTAATAGTTATACTGCTGTTACTTGGTTGCCAGATTGTTGTATGTGATTATGAAGTGCATTATGAGTTTGGCATTAAGGTAGTTGAGGCTTATTTGTGGCATGCTGTATTTTATTGAAAAATTTATGCCTGTTTTCTGTCCATGATGCTGTCTTAGTGGCCAGATGAACTACACTATGTTCTGAAAATGTTATCCTCTGTTTAATAGGCGTGAGTAAAATAGTCCAGTGATTTTGTTGCTTGGACAATACTATTCTGACGTGTAACAGTGGACCTTGGTGCTCACTGTCTTTCTTTCAGTCTCCTTGTTTTCATGGTGGTTGCCTGCACAGCTGTTGTGCTACCACTGTGCAAGAAGTCTGTGTTGGTGAACTGCGTCATTACATGAGTGGTGGTGGAAGATATTTTACATTCTGGAAACATTATCCTCTGCCTAGTAGACATATTAGTAGTCCAGTGTTTTGTCCCATGAGTCAGTACAGTTCTAATGAGTAATAACAGAAGTTGGTACATTCCATGTTTCTTTCAGTCTGTCTCTGTCTATCTCCCCCTCCCCCCATTTTAATGATTATCACCTACAGAATCTATGCAACTTCACTATTCAAAATTGACTAGCAGGCAGTGTTTGGAAGAATGTGCAGTGTGATAGTTTGTCACAAAATTGTTTCAACTAGTTTTTTTTTTTTAAAGTCTGGCTGGTAATTGAAATATTGATTTAAAAACTGTGATTTGGTGTAGAAATGAGATTTTATTTTGTTTTTATTTTAATCATAAAATTTTGGCGCAGCTTATGTACACGGGCTATATATTTGTGTAAATGCGGTGAATGAAAGACGTGAACTTCGCAGTGGCATGAATTATGCAGTTTATTACAGCATTTTGTTTATTCAGTATAAACAATGTGCTTGCATAGAAAAGTTCATTTGGAGGGTGAATCATGAAGTGCTAGCATCCCCCCCCCCCCAATTGCAATCCACTTTTTCTTTCTAAAATATTAGATTTTGTGCAGGTCATTTGGTATGGAAGTGGTTTTGTATGTTTAACTTATGATGAAAGCTTCTTTCACATTTCTGACAGCAGAAGCAGTTCACAATACTCTGCAGTTGAAGAATTTGATATTTATACCAGATTATTCTAAATTCAGAGAATGGGCTCAGGTAAGGTTTCAATTTCTATGCGTATTGGATGATGGTGTAAGTATTGAATACAGGAAGGTTTATGAAATATATTGACAGTATTTGATTACTGCATTATTGTAGAAACAGTATTATATTCAGTTTTTCACAAAACAAGTGAATCATGAAACCCATATCACATGTTTATAAGAATACGTAAGTGGAAGGTATTAGGTCCTTAGATGAACAAAATTTAAAGTTTTATTGGAATTGCCATAATGCGGTCATCATTTCATTGAATCATTGCATTGAGATGCATGGTTTGTCTGCCTTGACATTACTATACATCAGAAACGTAGTTTTAGAGTTATGTTTGTTGACACATCTTTCAGAATTGGAGTTTGATCCTAGTTGATGAAGGTAGCAGGCAGCATTAATTTTTATAAATACAATTTGCTCTGATAAAGAAGAAATGCTCTTCTTTACGCTACGCCTGGTTTACTTGCTCCAGCTTTGAAGTTGTTGGCCACATCAGCAGTCCCGAACACAGCTGCTGCTTCTGTTCATGGCACCAGCCCTGGGGCTCATCAGACTGATGACACTGGTCAGCCACCAGTTCTGGATAATAAGTTTGTTAACTATGAAATAGAAATTTGTTGGACAATGTCCATTGTCATTTTTAGTTAAAGGAACATCTTATAGGATATGGATACTGTCCATTGAAGTTTGGGATTGTCAGTTAGTAGATCTGTTTACTTTGTTGGAAGCATGTCATCAGATAATAAGGCTATTCTGAAATCAAACTTAAATGCACTGTAAGTATAAACTATATTTGTTACAGTAGTGAGGTGTTTAAAATGTGGCACTTCCATATACTGAGAGAAGGAGAAGCAATCAGCTTGAATGTGTCCTTATAATAAATAACCTTGGAAATTTGGAGTCCAAATGTAATTTTATACCAGTAACCTTGGATCAGAAAATAAAGGTTCATAACATCTTGCTGTGGGGTGGAACTGCTAACCCTAGAAGTGCTGTGAATAATACTTTCCAGTCTTTGTTTATGTGGGCCCTTCATTATGAGTGTACTCTGATTGAGTTAATATAGAGCAAAAGAACTGCAGATTATAAATTAAAATTCAAACTATATGCTGGATACAGTCACTGGTATCTTTTATCATATTGCTTTTCTGTACTAATTTTTAACATACTCTTGTTCAGTGACTGTTTATAGCAACAGCGTTATTGACACAAGAATCCTGCAGTTTTGTTTGATTATGGAGGCATCTTAGGCTGATGGAATGGACATGAATTGTTCCAAGAATTTTTAAATTAATGTACATTATTCATAGTTGCATCATAGTTTATTTGAGGTAGACAGTTCACCATTGCAGTTGTGAAAACATTTGCGACTGAAATTGGGTGTGATTCCTTTGCCACGTCACTTGTGCATGAGTCAAGTCACTTCCATAAATTGCTTGAGATGTTGTGTATCTTTTATTTAGATAAATACTTTGTGAATTTTTCAGAGTGAAAACAACTTTGTACAATATTTGCAGAAGTTTGGTTCCTTTCATTCCTGCAAAATATTTGCTGTTGTGTACTATTTTATGGTATGTCATCTTTATGTAACATCAATGTTTAATTAAACACCTGGGCTAGGCAGAATTGTAGGTAGTGCTTTTTTTATTTAATAGGAAGTTTTGTAATTAAATTAGTAAACATTTTGAAGTGCAGATATTGTAATGTAAATGTCAGGTTAAATACTGGAGCTTAAATTAGCTCGACTTGTAGCTACCTATTAGTGCAGACTCCCATAACCTGTGCTATTGTTACAACATTTATAGTGCCTGTGTAAATCTGCAGTTCAACTTTTATGATAGTTTTCAGCACCAGCTTTAGCTACTCATCAGCCTGTGGAACACATGCAAGCAATTAGTTATTATGTAATAGTTCCCTGTTCTGCTGTCCACAGCTGCAAAGCTTGCTGCTGCGCAAGGTGTCTCAACTGTCCCCAGTGCACCAGCAGCACTGTCTTCTGCAAGTCCTAAGGGTTCATCAGATGGTGAGACTGAGCCTTTGAGCCAACCTGCAGTTAATGAAACTGCCATAACCAATGGTGAAACAACTAAAGAGCCTGAAAGTGATAATGAAAAGGATGAAAAGATGGTGGTTGAAGAGGAAGAGATGAGGAAGAAGCGTGAAGAGGAAGAAGAGCGAGCTAAAGAATTGCAGAAGGCACAGGATAAATCAAGGCCTGTTTCTAGTACTCCTGTACCAGGCACGCCATGGTAAGGAAACAGTGTATATTGAAATATCCTTGCGTGATTTCTAGTAGACAGAAAAGTGGTTTATTGAAGTAGAAACAGTTTGAAATATCTGTGAAAGCATACTGCTACAGATTACCATATTTACATTAATATTTGTACCTTTCCTACCAATATTTTGTTCTAAATTGAGAATGAAAAAAACTCTTGGGGATAAATGATTGATGGCATTTTGGAAACTTGTCACATGGGCAGATCATTGTAGTTTAAGTAGCAATGAAATATTTCCCATAATGCACATATTATATTTATACATTTCTCCAGATGGGCTGTTTAGAATCTTTGTTCTCTCTTTAGTATATATTGATTAGAAAATTTTGACTTCCAATTGTGTGAGTATTCACAAGGTTAGGAGTTTTGATTAAATGTCTTGTGGAAGATGTCTGTATTTTCACATAAGAAAATAGTGTATTTTTAGTTGTGCATAAATTATATTTGTATGTACAGTGAAACCTCGATGCATCGTTTTCAGCGGGGGTGGGAAATAAAAACGATGAATGCGGGAAAACGATAGATGCGGGAAAGCATTAAAAATTTAAAAAAAAACAATGTTTCTCTTTCAAAGTTACTTCTTTTTACCA